TTGCGATCCCGTTACCGGTCACGAAAAAAGACAAAAAGGAAAAAAAAAAAGAAAAAAGAAATTAGTGCATGTGAATCACAGGCGTTTCTCGGAGCAGGCCGGGCCTCACGTGTCTGTCTCTGCCGAGTGCTCACGACTTGCTGCGTTTTCTCCACCCTCAGCGTCCTGCTCACAGATGAGCGTGACAGCAGGAGCACACGCCGGGAGAGCACACACAGGTCCTCTAACTCCGGTATCTCCCACGGTCAGGGGTCATAGGAGGACGCCTGCTGTTTGCCTTCATGACCCTGAGCCAGCAGAGAAAGAGGGTCCCGCCATGCCCTGGGGCGGGGAGGGCCCGTGCACTGGAGAGAGGCTTTCAGGAGAGAGACTGGAGGTCACAGACGTCTGTTTGCCAACTAACCAGAACGCAGGATGCTTTATCCTGGTGCATTTGGCACAAGTTGTATTTTTGATGTGTAAGAATAATTCAAGTGATACCAACTGTCTGGAGTCAACAGATGGGACTCGTGGGTCACCCTGTAGGAGGCTCTTTGATTTGAGGTATTTGTGGAAAGTGAGTTCCTTGCAGGTGGACGGGAAGTGAAGCGCTGAGCCAAGCCACTGGGAGGCTTCTGCAGTCACTCAGGGTGACACTGACAGATCTGACCTACAAGATCTAAAGAACCCAGTGGCGTCTCACAGCTCGGGCGCCGGGAGGAGGAAGGAAGGGGCCTCCTGTGCTGTCTCCTCCCCGCGCATTCGGAGCATGTGATTCAAAGTGTGGGCAGCGGTGGGAGGAGCCCAGCGATGCCCGTGTCCTCTGCTGAGGGTGAGAGACTCGTCCAGCAGGGCACAGAGTGGGTGACAGCTGACTGTGGACTTCACTGAGCTGGATCCTGGAGGCTGAAACCTCGGGCTTCTTGCCACCCTTCATCCCATTCTCCTGCCTGTGTCTCCCTCGAGCCTCCGAGGCAGCCACGCCAGGGTGGTGCCGTGTGTGTTCAGGTGGCCCCGGGAGTGAGTTCTGCCCTGACCACGGCTGCAGAGGATGGGACTCATGATGGTCAATGTTCTGTGTCAACTTGACTGGGCCATGGGGGCCCAAGATATCTGCTTAAAGATTATTCTGAGTGTGTCCGGGGGGTGTTTCTGGATGAGGCCAGATTCAAATTGGTAAACTGAGTAAAGCAGATTGCCTTCCTGGTCGGTGCAGGTGGGCCTCACTGAACAGAACAAAAAGGCGGTGGAAGGTGGGATCGGGTCTCTCTGCCCGACGCTCTGAGCGTGTGTCAGTACGTGCACAAATGTAAACTTCCTGTGCTTCATCTCTCTGGAGCGCCCTGACTAATGCAGGCCTGATGTAGAACTGGGAAAGCAGGAAAGGAAAGGAGAGACCAGACAATCAGAGGCTGGGCTCTCATGCCTGCTAGACAAGGCCAGGCTGTGGTGGGACCTCACTGTCCCTTTCTCCTGGTTTGCTGTTTGAATCCCAGCCTGCCTCCTCCAGGTGACACGCTCTCTGATGTGTCAGAATGGCGCTTTAAACCGCAGTGCACTGAGACTGTGCACCAGGCACCAGCATCTCCACGCCTCTCCCTGCACCCTGCAGCAGGGCTCCGCCTCACCTACCTGATCAACTCCCGTTATGGTGTAGGCATGACCCTTAATGAGACCAAAAGGGGTCCGGGCTTCAGATTCTGCAGCATTTCTGGTCTGAAACAGGAAAAGAGAAACATCATTTGCATTGTCTAAGTCAAGCCTTTCCCGCCTGGCCAGACCCAGCTGCAGGCCTGGCCAGTCCTGTCCTCTGGCCCCTTCTGCTCCTGCAGGTGCAGCCACGTGCACGGGTCGTAGAGATCGGGTACACGTGACACCCCAAAGATGTTTAGCAGTGACATCCAGTTTCTTCCTCGCTCTCAGTGCGGACTCCAGCAAAGATTTACATTTTCTCCCCCAAACAGAACAACTTGAGCTTCGTGTGGCACGACAGAGAAAACACGATCACACACACCACAGAGGAAGAGAGGCATGTGGCAGTGGACATGCAACTCCGTGTTCCAAATGGGAAATTACAGAGGACATGGGTAATCCGTCAGCAAAGAACAGCTCCCCAAGGTCATTCCAGGGGGGAACAGAAAACTTGAAAAGATCTCAAAAGATAAACAAGGTAAAGTTACACCTGTGTGTGCTCGTGTGCACAGGGAACTTAGAAAATACCCTGTTAGCTTCCTACCTGCTGATAAGACGTATTTTTTCATGGGATATAAAATGAAAAAAACAAATTTCGGAAAACTACATGCTAAGATTCCATCTTAGTAAAATCAAACCAGCCTTCCTTACGCTCGTGTGCACGTGTGTGTGCCTGTGTGAGCAAAGACAGAGCCGTGACCCTGGGCATGGGCCAGGCGACCTGGCTGCGGGTGGGGGTGGAGTGGGGAGGCTGCCGGATGCGGAGGGTACAAACATGCCTTCGTAGGTCTCAGGGTTGTCCCACCTGATACAGCACGTGGATCTCACCTTTGCAATTTGAAACACTTTAAATAGAAACTTGCATGGTTTTTTGGGCAGCTGGCCGGCATGGGGAACCGACCCCTTGACCCTGGTGTTATAAGGCAGTGCTCTAACCAACTGTGCTAACTGGCCAGCCCAAGACCTGTGTCTTAATTAAAAGAAGTGAACACTGACATTGCCCGCCACGGCCGTGCCCCTCCTTGTGTGTGGTCAGGGCTCCTGCGCAGACCCTGGCTCATGGGGTGCTGGCATCGGGGGCCCCAGCGACTCACGTCAATGGAGCAGCTCAGCAGAGAGCCCCTCTTCAGGGCCTTCTCGAGGATCTCGTAGAAGTTCTCGGGGGCCTCCGTGGTTTGGAAGGTCTCTGCGACGCCCCCGGTGAAGTCTTCCATGGCCTCCAGCGCGCTGCCGCCCTTCAGCGCTTCGTAGCTCCCGTTCAGCCTGCGGGCGGCAGGGAGCCAGCGGGGTGTACGGGGACAGGGCCCAGGGCGTCCCAGACAGAGGCTCTAATTGGGCTGGGAAAGGGGACGGGGACGGAGCAGGAGCCTGGAGGAAGCAGCAGGCCCCGAGGACGCAGCCCGGAGTGCGGTGGGGAGCAGGGACTCTGCCCTGCCCGGCTGCAGGTTCAAACCCCAGCCCCGCCACTGCGGGCTCAGCCGCCCTGCACTGAGACACCCGGTTTTCTCACTTGCTCTTTAATTCTCAGCACAGTGCTTGAGGTTGCATGCTCTCCTGTGACCTATCCCCGGTCACCTGAGGCTGAGGTCGTGTTGACGTTTCCCACTGAAAAGTCCCTCCCCGCTCCCGTCTCCTGGCTGTGCTCCTGGGAAGGAGGTCACCATGTGGGCCCCCATTTAAGGAGCGGGAGTTCACCTTGAGGGTGGGAGATGCACACAATTCATTTGGAATTATTCTGCGTGGGATATTTGTCCCTTGTCCCTGATTTATTTATTCAATTATTTATTGACATCCGCATGCGCTCGCGCATACTTATTTTCTACTTTGGTTTACAATCCAGAGCTGCTTTACTTACTTTGTTGGTCAAATTGTTCTAGCTTTGGCTACTTGGAACTGCGTCAGCAGGCCCCTGTGTGCTTTCGATGTACCCCATCTGTGTGTGCGTGTGCATGTGTCATGTGACGTGTGCATGTTGTGCATGTGTGTGTTGTGTATGTGTGTTGTGTATGTGGTATGTGTGTGTTGTGTGTGTATTGTGCATGTTGTGTGCGTGTCGTGCATATGTGTTGTGCGTGTGTTGTGTGTGTTGTGTGTGTGTTGTGCATGTGTGTTGTGTATGTGGTATGTGTGTGTTATGTGCGTGTCATGCATATGTGTTGTGCGTGTTGTGCATGTGTGGTGTGTGTGTTGCGCATATGTTGTGCATGTATGTTGTGTGTTGTGTGTGTTATGCGTGTGTGGTGCATGTGTGGTGAGTGTGTGTTGTGTGTGTGTGGTGCGTATTTTCTGTGTTTTTTGTGCATCGTGTGTGTGTTGTGTATGTGGTATGTGTGTGTTGTGTGTATTGTGCATGTTGTGTGCGTGTCGTGCATATGTGTTGTGCGTGTGTTGTGCGTGTTGTGTGTGTTGTGCATGTTGTGCGTGTGTTGTGTGCATGTGTTGTGCGTGTTGTGCGTGTTGCATGTGTATTGTGCATGTGTTGTGCATGTAGTGTGTGTTGTGCATGTGTGTTTTGCGTGTGTTGTGTTGGACGTGTGTGTTGTGTGCGTGTGTTGTGCATGTTGTGTGTGTAGTGTGTGTTGTGCGTGTGTTGTTGTGCGTGTTATGCATGAGTGTTGTGCGTGTTGTGCACGTGTTGTACGTGCTGTGCATGTTGTGTGTTGTGCGTGTGTTGTTGTTGTGCGTGTTATGCGTGTGTGTTTGTGTTGTGTGTGTTGTGCATGTTGTGCGTGTGTTGTGTGCATGTGTGTTGTGTGTGTTGTGCATGTGTGCCGTGTGTGTTTTGCGTGTGTTGTGTTGTACATGTGTGTTGTGTGCGTGTGTTGCGCATGTTGTGCGTGTGTTGTGCATGTTATGCGTGTGTTGTACGTGCTGTGCATGTTGTGTGTTGTGCGTGTGTTGTTGTGCGTGTTATGCGTGTGTGTTGTGCGTGTTGTGCGTGTGTTGTACGTGCTGTGCGTGTTGTGTGTTGTGCGCGTGTTGTTGTGCGTGTTATGCGTGTGTGTTGTGTGTGTTGTGCGTGTTGTGTGTGTGTGTTCTCACTTTCCGACATCACAAGATGCTCTAGATTCATTTCATGTCTCTGCACCCTCGTGGTCTAGCCTGGACGTCTAGACGTCTGAGCCTTGGCAGCATCTGGGGGGAAGCCTGGAGAACTGAGTAGTGTTGGCTTAGCCAGGACGTCCCTCTTCCTGCCCTCCCAGTGCTTCTCCACCAGCTCTTCCCAGGGCCAGACCCATGGCTTAGGGAGAGAGACGGGACAGGTGTGGCCAGAGTGCCCGAGGAGGGCGCACCGGGGCCACCACAGGGACACTGCTCTGGCAGCTGTTTTTCCGCCCTCAGCCCTGCCCGAGTCCACATGCCTCGCCCGCAGACCCAGGGCCTCGGTCCCCGCCGGGAATGGAAGCCGGGCTTCCCTGGGCCCGCGGCGCTCACTTGGCGTAGGCTTTCTCCAGCAAGGCGCTCCAGAACTCGCTGTGCTCGGCGGAGTGCAGGAAGACCAGGCGATCCCTGAAGGTGGGCAGGCGGTCGTCGACCACCACGTCCAGCCACTCGCTGTGCTGCCAGAACTGTCGCCGGGGGGAGACGGAAACACGGGTGAGTCACGCAGGAGGTCCCGGCCCCGTGTGTACACGTTGGTCCTACTGCTTTTCCCTGTGACCAAACTGCAGGAATAGTCTCGAGGGAATCACGCGTGGGCTCCGTGGTGGGGCCGCCTGGACTTTGTCCTCGGGGCCACATGCCGGGCATTCCGTCCGCCATCGACCTCGGCTCCTAGACTTAGTGTCTTGGGCAGGGGAGGCAGGACAGGAGCCACACGTGGACACTCTCCGGTGCTGTGAATTAATCTTTCTTTTCACAAGGAAGTTTTTGGGCAGGGGAGGGTGGAAGTGTGGGGTTTGGTCTGCCCCCGCACTGCCCAGTTGTCACCCTCTCCACCCAGTTCCAGCTCTGATGTCCTCTAACCTTTTGTCCCCTCCTCGCCGCAGGCGGAGCCCTGGTCTGTTGGCCATTCACCCAGAGAGAGGCAGGTGATTTGGTTTTCCTGCGTGCTAGCTGTGGACACGTGAGGGGAGTGCAGGCGTGCATGTGTGTGCACACGCATGTGCATGTGTGCAGGTGTGAGCGTGCATGTGCAGTGTGCTCGTTTGTACGTTGCACTGTGCAAGTGTGTGTGTGTGGGAGTGCACTTGTATGCACGTGTGCACAGGTGTGTGCTGTTTGAGCACATGCGTGCATGCGTGTGAGTTTGCATGTGGTCTGCAGGGAACAGGAGGGGAGGCGGGAGCAGGGCGAGGGCCATGCGTGGTTTCTCTGAGCTTCCTGGTGTGCTGCAGGGACCCGTCTCCTCCCCTCCTTATGGATCAGCTTCCCCCTGGCCCCTCGCCCCCTGACCCAATGTCTCTTCAGACTCTTGGGCCTTTGGTGGCTTCTGGGACAGGGGTTTGATGTCCAGGCCTGGGCTGGGGCTCCCTGGGCAGGGGCAGGGCTGGCCTCCCACGGGGAGGGCTCAGGGGGCCTGCAGGTGACAGAGACAGCTCTGCTGGTGTCCCTGCTCCTGCACACCTGCACTGTGGCCGAGGGACAGAGAGGACCGTGCAGCAGCAGGTCATTTCCAACGCTCCACTTCCCATGAGGAGTGCTGTGAGCGTGGGGCTGACAGTCCCCCCAGGGCCGGCCCCACCCACTCAGGGCAGCAGTGGAGCCAGAACCCGGGGCTCTCGGCCTATGGGCTGCAGTTTGTCTTGTGAGCTTAGGTCGGCCACACTCGCTCCCTGGGACCTAATGTCCCCGGGGGCAAAATAGGGAGCAGCTGCCCAGGCCCCTCCCAGCTGTGACACTCGATGGGACAAAGGAGGACACTCTTCCCTGGGGAGCCCGAGGTCAGGTAGTGGCGCTGGCTCAGAGGCAGCAGTGCTGCTGGGTTTGCTGAGTTTAAATACCCCCCACCCTGCCGCCCGGGGGTGGTTCTCAAGGGTCAGAGCTGAGCCAGGGCTGTGCTATGGGCAGAAGTCACACGCAGGGAGGGGAGACGGGGATGGTGGTGGGTCCTTGGGAGAGCAAGGGTAGGGTCTCCCGGCCCCAAGGTGGCTCCGTGCCCCTCAGGCACAGGAGGCCAACAGCTAGGAGTGGGGACAGGGCCCTGAGCTCATGTTTCTGCCGTCCCAGCCCTCGAACGCTTCTGTGCCGTCAGTTACTGGACCCACACGCACTTCTGCTTAGCAGACTGCAGGCCTCGGGGACAGAGGGACGGGCTGGACGAGCGTGCAAGGAGGTGACAGCATGTCCTTCACGCCTGGCACTGGGCGACTTCTTCCCGGGCTCCTGTGCAGTTCCACGAGGAGCCCGTGGGTGGCTTCCAGTCTCTCCCTCTCTCTGATTAGTAAGGAAGGCTCAGTTTCACGGAGAGAACTGCCTGAGGCCACCCACTTAACTAAGTCCAGGGGGACCCTGTGCAAGGACTGGGGGTGGGGAAGGGCGCAGATGGACGGGGAGATGGGAGAGCAGGGAGCCAGGTCTCGGGGCCGCGGGCCCCAGGACTCCAGCTGGGGTCAGCTCTGTGTTTCTTCAGTTTTTATGTTTTGAACTCACTCACGTTCTCCAGAGTTTCACTCCTCCAGTGAGGAGACCCTCTCTGCTTATGAGAAATAATCCAGTTCCCCAGAGGCACAATCATCTCAGGCCATTCATGCTCAAAGCGCAAGAAATTCAAGATCATGAAACCCTTCGCCTACGGACCTCCAGATCTGCCAGAACCGCACCCGAGGCTGCGCGGTCTGCAAGGACCCACCTTGCAACACCCTGAATGCTCTTCTGAAACATGTAGATGTTATTTCACTGCAAAGCGTGGCGTTAGTGCGGTTTAGGAGCACGGCGCTCACGCAGACACTGTCGCCTTCCCTCCAGGGTTCCGGGGCGGTGCATTTGCACCGAGCCACGCTGGGCCCGAGCAGTGAGCCCGGCCCGGCTCCATCTCACCTGGAAGTGGAATATCCCGGCGTAGCCGGGGCTGAAGCTTTGGTCCTGGGGCACGACTCTGGCCAGCGCTCTGTCATTCAGTGTCAGGGAGGCGATGGCGGCGAGCAGCCAGCAGTCTCCTGCAGAATGAAAGCACAGGTCACGGTCCTCGTCACGAACCCACAGCACACAGGCAAACTCCAGGCCAGAAGGGGATGTGGGGACTGCCAGACGTGGCCACATCTTTTCTGCATTTTAAGCAGTGTGCAGAAGACCCGCGAACACCCTGTCCTCCTTCCTGCCTTCCTGGCCGGCAATCCTGTTTGGTCTTGTACACACAGCTGTCGCCTTCTTGGCACGGTTGTGAGAGATGCGTACTTGGGTTTCTGACATGTGGCCCTGCTATGCCTCAGCTCTGTGACATTCCAGCGACCTCCCCTGCAGAGGACCAAGGCTGCACATGCTAGTGTCAGTGTGGCCACGTGGACTCCAGCCCACACTGTTCTGCACACTTGGGGTGCGTGTGTGTGTGTGTGTGTGTGCGTGCATGCGCGCACTTGCGTGGAGCTCAGAAATAGCCCCTGAAGTGCCTGGGGAACCCGTTTCCAGGGCTGATGTCTCTCTGCAACCCAGACTCAGGTTAGTTTTTGATAGCGGGACTGTGTGGTAGCTCCGCTTGTTTTAAATTATCTTGCATTTTCAGGATTTCTTGCCTCACCTGCAGAACTCTCCAGCGGTGTCTCTGCATTAACACACATCTGGAGGAAAACTACAATGTGGAGTCGAACACCAAACAGTACCTCACTGCATCGTGCCAGACGCTGCCTGCGATCCTTACCCTGTGCTGAACATGGAACAAGCGCCCCAGTTCCTGGCCGCAGTGAGCCACTGTCTGTGCGGTGCATGACAAAGGAGTGTCCACTTGTCTGACAGGACCTCTCAGCTTTATCTAGATTTGTTTGTTTTTAGCAGACAACGCCCCTGTCATTGGGACCTAAGACCCTGTCACACTCAGTGTGGCTCCCCAGGGCTCACATTTCCTGAAAGTACCGTGTCTGCTGGACTCGGGATGTCTCAGTATGACCCCTTTCTGGTCATTGCATGCAGGCAAGGGAGACTCACACAGCTTAACACCAGGAAAGCTACTTTCGAACTGCCTCTTCTGGCTTTCTGAGGGTGTCACCAGACACCAGCCTCAGCTGAGGCACAGAAGGATTGGTTTCTAATGCGCCAGCGGGCCTTTGGGAGCCTTGGGTTGGCTGATAGGAAGTGCCAGGGCTGGAGGCTCTCAAGACCACTCATTCTGCCGATGTGACCGAGTGTCCCCTGGGCATGGGCACTGTGTCATGCCAAGGGCAAAGACAAGGAAAGACAAGGTCCCTGCTTTCAGTGGAGGGTGGCCAGGGCCAGTGGAGTCTAACAGAGTGAAGCTGCTGCAAGCTGACCTCCTGCACCCTCTCCTCCGAGGTACAACAACTGTGCCCAGTTGAGGGTCTCATGCGTCTTTACCTGGCCGGAGGGTGCAGTGGCTCCTGCCTAGTCAGCCAGAAATGCTCTGAGCTCTTGGAGGGGGAGGCCTCGAAGCCAATGTTGTGTACACAATTTAAAAGAAATTAAAAAAACCCTCAACTCCCCCCGCAGGATTGCTTTTGTCTCTGTTGAGCGGGGGCGGACGGGCCGGGCTGGCCACCCCGCACTGTGGTTGGAGGAACGCCCTCTGCAGCCGGTCCGGCCGGAGTGCGTGCCCCACGGTGGCGGTGACGTTCTGGTCCTGATCGCGGGGGGCAGCAGCTCGTGCCGCTCATTTCATGGGTATTCTTCATGCCTTATATGTACGCTGTGCACGGTATTTGGGGGTAATGACAGTGTTACAAAATAATATGTAGAACCAACGATCCACTGAGGTTCAATATGAGGCTGTCATTCCAGATATACACTTACACCAAAGTGACAAGCCAAAGCTTTGACGGACAGAGGAGCCTGAACGATGATTTGCCATTGAACGGTAATGAGGAAGCCTGACCTCAGTAAAGGGCACCCACCTGAATGGGAGGGTTTTGG